CCTAGACAAATTAGAGGATTGGGCCAAAAGAAATCTGATGAGGTTCAACAAACACAAGTGCAGAGTCCTGCACTTAGGACGGAAGAATCCCATGCACTGCTACAGACTAGGGACCGAGTGGCTAGGCAGTATTTCTGCAGAAAAGGATCTAGGGGTTACAGTGGACGGGAAGCTGGATATGAGTCGACAGTGTGCTCTTGTTGCCAAGAAGGCTAACGGCATTTTGGGCTGTATAAGTAGGGGCATTGCCAGCAGATCGAGGGACGTGATCGTTCCCCTCTATTCGACATTGGTGAGGCCTCATCTGCAGTACTGTGTCCAGTTTTGGGCCCCACACTACAAGAAGGATGTGGAAAAATTGGAAAGAGTCCAGTGGAGGGCAACAAAAATGATTAGGGGTCTGGAGCACATGACTTATGAGGAGAGGCTGAGGGAACTGGGATTGTTTAGTCTGCAGAAGAGAAGAGTGAGGGGGGATTTGATAGCAGCCTTCAACTACCTGAGGGGGGGTTCCAAAGAGGATGGAGCTCGGCTGTTCTCAGTGGTGGCAGATAACAGAACAAGGAGCAATTGTCTCAAGTTGCAGTGGGGAAGGTTTAGGTTGGATATTAGGAAACACTATTTCACGAGGAGGGTGGTGAAACACTGGAATGGGTTCCCTAGAGAGGTGGTGGAATCTCCTTCCTTGGAGGTTTTTAAGGCCCGGCTTGACAAAGCCCTGGCTGGGATGATTTAGTTGGGGATTGGTCCTGCTTTGAGCAGGGGGTTGGACTAGATGACCTCTTGAGGTCTCTTCCAATCCTGATCTTCTATGAGCTTGAGGCACAAGCACTACAATTCCCAGGAGCTGTCGCATGTAGCGGGGGGGGTTACCCCGCTCCTGCCTGAAGAGGATAAAGCCGCCTGGGAGAGGGCTGCAGTGGGGGAGAGCTGGGCTGATTAAGGAAGCAGCCACAGCTGTGGCATCTCGATCAGGGCCCAGCTGGCCCTTATAAGGGGGCAGTGGGTCAGGAGCTAACAGAGACTCTCTCTAGCCTTTCGACAGAGAAGGATCTGGCTTCCTGGGAAGCTGAGGAGGGTACCTAGGGAAGAGCAGTGCTGGGGAAGGGCAAAGGGAGCTGGGGAGCTCCAGCCTGGTAAACCCCCAGCTGCAGGCCTTGCTAAGGGCCTACAAAAAGGTACTGGGGGCTGCAGAGGTGCAGCCTCGGTCTTAGGCAAAGGCAGCAGGTCCAAACCCCCTTTGGCTTTCACACTGCCCCAGGGAAGGGGGGCTCGTTGATGACTGGCAGTGGCCATAGACTGAGGCAAGGTGGGGGTAGAGGGTTGGGGTTTCCCTGGGGAGGGGAGACCCAGAGACTGCAGGGTACTGCAGAGGGCAGACCCCCTGAGCAAAGGGCACTGGGGTCTGGGAGAGACACGGGCCAGCGGCAAGCGGGACACCGGCCTGCAGAGGGCGCTCCGGAGCTGGAAATAGAGCTAATTCCTATGAACCAGCAGGAGGCGCCGCAGGGGTGAGTCCCGCCCCGTTACACCACACAAGGGATATTTGGGGGTTTTGCAGGAAACTCCAAGTTTTCTGCAGGAAAAACACCCCCATTTTCAGACCTGCTCTTAAAAACTCCTCTCATTGAAACACCAACAGGAGTTGCCTGGGGATAAACAGGATTTGGGGCTATGGGTCTCAAGGATTGGAGACGTGTCCGTAGGCGGGATGAACACTCTAGCACCAGCTGCCCTCCAGGCTAGTGAAATTCTTCTAACCCTGAGTCCAAGAAAATAAGATTTCAGCCAGACTCTTTCCCAGTCCCCTCCAGCAGCATGGACCCAGTTCCCAACATTGCCCCAGCCCTGGTATGGATGGGAGAGGGGAGACACCCCATGATCAGGTCAGAGACAGAGACAGTACCTGACAGGGTGAGGAGAAGCCGGAGCGATGTTTCTTCATCACATTAGATAAATTCTGCAAAGGAACCAAAAGAAATCATCGTGTCACAGACTCCACAGGGCTTAGAAAGGCTGTGAACATGGGGAGGGCTCGCCTGGCGCTGAGATGCAGCCACCTCTGGGGTGGGGCAGCTGGGGATTTGGGGGTATTGGGGTCATCACTGACTGCAAGGAGAGAGCATCCCCTTTCTGCTCCCTCCAGCACAGCTGGCCGGTCCCCACCTTTATCTTGGTAGCAAGCTGTGTCCCGGTGAGCAGCTCCCCATGCCGGTCCGTCCGGATGTGTTGACCGGCCGAGCTCCCCAGGGTGGTGATGTAGTCCCTCAGGCTCTCCCGGAAATTCTCACCCATGTCTGCAAAGGGGTGAGAGATGGACAATGGTAGGGGATTATAGGGCCTATCTGATTCCCCTTCTCTCTACCTTCCACGTGTAGGCATGATCAGTGACCCAGTCACATTGCTCTACACATGGCAGGGAGCTCAGAGACACTGTCCTGGGACCGTTACCTCTCAGCCTTCCCTCGCTTCCACTCACGATCCGCTCGCCAGGGGAGGGCATCAGGTAACAGCA